CTTCCGATTCTCTCCCCCATCCCACCAGGAGGCGGAGGGTGAGCACGTGGCTGTGTGGTGCTTAGTTGCCGGCTGGGGTTAAATGACAACAAAAGCAAAATTTAAAATTTTATGTGATAAACAACTGGACAGAACGTAACCAATGTTCTCTCAAAAATTTAATATCATTCTGAAGGAAGACAATTTTCTTCAAAATAAAATGTGACATAATTTTACAGCATGTAAGTTTAAAAGAAACTTATCTTCAACCGCTGCATTAATAAATCCATATGAATATAAATAATCTGATTTAATCACATTTGTCATTTCCAGTTACAGTTTAGAATTACAAGCAAATACAAGTACTAAGCTAGAGTAATTTTTTGTCCTGGTCTGAATGTTGAGCCAACTTGTCCTTTCCTCTTCTTGGGATTCTGAAAATTATCATACCTGGAAACAGAAAAAGGTATTAGCAAATTCTTATGCAATGCCTTTGTGTGCATATGCCTCTTTAGATACACATTAATGCAACACAAAACTACAGTTGTTTACATATATTTTTATGGAAATGAAGAGCGCATGTCTCCTCAGACCTGGGGACCTAGAGGAGTTTTCATCCACAAACCTAACTCAGATTGCTCTCTGCCCTGCTTTCTCTTTTTTAAATTTTTTATTTTCACTTTTTGGAGCTGGGGGGGGGAAGGTGGGACAAGGAACAGAACTGGACAGGGTAGTCTAGACTCCTGGGAAGCATCTCTCATTCTCCTCCTTTCCTGTTCCTTCCTTCTGTCTTTCCCCTGCTGTAAGACCTGCTCATCTATGTATCAGCTGAGGAAGACAACTCCTAACAATCTTCATGTCAGAAGAACCTGCTGGTGAGATCACAGAACGTTCCGATGCCAGTGTCCAGCTTTTTCACTCCAGTATTTTCCAAGTCTAAGGAGATATAGTCTCCTTTTCTGCAGATTATTTCCTTTTCCCAAACACAGCAGCTACAAAGACCACTACAGAGATTCAAAACCCAGCAAAATTTGAAGATATCAGGGGCTACTACTCAGTGGGAGCAGGAGGGACCTAGCAGCAAGTCTCAGAGAATCGGTGCCTCTTTGTACTGGTATAGCTCTGGACATAATATAAGGGGTTTCTGGTCTGTGATTAGAATTTCTAGGTCCTACATTAATAAAAACAATAAAAGACAATGCATGTAATTGAATTTTTCTGAAAAAAATTGCTGTCAGAAGCTATTCAACTCTGCCATTCCCCACATTAAGTAACTATTGTGTTTCTAATGAATAAGAAATGTGAAAAGACTGAATCTCCACTGAATACATAATTACAAAAAAAAAAAAAAAAGTAATACTTACAGTTCAGTAAAATTCTTCCAGTCATCTTGGCTAATGGATGGTCTTATACCCTCAAGTGCAGTCATCAGATGGGACTGGGTAATAATTAAACTGTTCTTGGCAAGCACTGACTGATTAGGGATGCTGTCCTCCTTTAAAACAGAGCCATGAAGAGACAATGAAATTTAGCACAGAAACAAAGACATAGTGCCATGAATATCAGTAACTCTGGAACTTCCTCATTACATGTACAGACAAATCTGCATTATAAATACAATCACAATTCCCCCATCCCCCTCCAGTATTAATAGTGCAGAAATAACTTTCTAGTTATATGAATGTTAACATCTGGCTTATTTCTCCTCAAACTAGGTATCGTTTATCTTTGCTATCTTTGTTACATTATATTTAATATTATTGCAGAAATTATTTATTGAAATACCAAGAAGTGTGGGAAAACAATAGAAAAGTGTTAAGACTATATAATCGAAAAAGCTGCCATACTCCATTCTTGCTTCTGTAATTGGCTTTGATAGCATTGATTTCTGTCCTCAGGTGCTCTATTTGCTGCTCCTGGTTATTTTCCAGGGAGTCTTCTTGAGAAGCTGTTCTAAGCATTGAAGGTTGTGATGATGCTGTGTCTCTCTGAGTCACGCTGGTAAAATCGTGAGTTATGGAGTTTGGTCCAGACAAACACAAAGAACTCTAAATTGACCACAAGGAGAAATACATTAACTCATTATGGATCCAAAAGAGCAACTCCACCATTAAGATTTAGCCTACAAATTTAATTCAGTATCAGCTTGCCCCCACTGGCAAAAAGAGTACCTTCTCTTAAAAATGTATCACATGCATAACTTTTTGAACAGAACATTTAGGTTAATTTGCCACAGTGTTTGGGGAAAAGTACAAATTTGAAAATAAGGCGTTTCATCTTTACAAAAGGTCTGAATATTTTTGCAATGGCCTATCTCAAAAAGATTAAAGGTCTACTAAGTCCATTGTTTTATTTACATACGAAAATCAGTGGTTCTGAAATTTGGAAAAGTTTATGTAGTTAGCTTTGGAGTGACTCATGATTTAGATATTCATCACCTCCAAATTCTCTGTGCACTTGACAAGTGTGAACTTTCAAATTCAACAACTTTAAGAGATCAAAGTCCTTGTAGCCTTGCTGAAAAACTTTCACATTTAGAGGAAAACTGAAGTCTCTAAAGATACACGAATGGAACACTATCATGTATAATGCAAGATAAAACACAAAAAAGCACCTTAGCTGTCAGTAATTAGTTCTCCAATTTCAAGATAAGTTATTTTCGGCTTTAAGAATCGATGCAAGACAGTTTTGAAAACAACAGCCTCACAACTTTGATAACTAACCTGTAACAGCAGTTCTACAACAGATCTTGAAAATGTATGTCCCATGGATCCCATGCAAACTCTGAAGTCCTCTGTTACCATAAGGGGCTCAGAGGCAGCATATTCTGGTTTGCTTCCCTGGCAGCCAAGCAAGACGAGCTGGCTGGCTCATCACTATGCAGGTGCTGGGTAGCCAACCAGCACATCCCTATCTGCAAGCTAGCCAGAGAATGTGCTGCTTTCTGTGCCATGGGATACTACATCAACAGGAATTCTGCTTCTTAAGAGCAACAACAGAAGCTACGGTTTACTTCTGTTGTTTACACAATCCCATGGTTAGATTATTCCATTAATGCACACTCTACTGGCAACTGAAAAACGTTTGTTGATTAAGATTATGACTTCATTCTTGAAAGCTGGATGGTCATTGTTTAGTAATAAAACTAAGTTAAAAAAAAAAACCAGAAAATAAAAAAACTTAGTATTAAACTTTGGAAGGCAACAAACCATTAGACCAGACAGCAAGATCTAGTATGAATGCAGTTCGCTTGATTGTAAGGTATCAAGCAGTATTTTGGGATTTTGATTTTGAAGTGCTGCAAAGTTGCAGAGAAGTCCATATTGTATTTTGTCAGATCACACCCTTCCATCTTCTTTCCCACTGTAAACCACAAGGTACAGACTGAAGACAGTTTGAAGGACAAAGCAGACATAATTGTATTTATAAAACCATATGATATGCCTAGATCAGTTTTTCTGCTTCACAACTGATAATATTTAGAAAATTCAAAATTTAAGTGAGTAATTTACCAGTTCTGAAGGAGTTCCATTTCCCAGCTCCGATTCATAAGAGCTTCCAAAATAAAGACGATACATGTTGGACCTTGGATCTTCAGGAAGCAAGTCAGACATGTCTAGAGAAATAAGAGATTGCTCTAGCCCTGCTTCTCCGTCTATTGCCGAATCATCTGAGCCACTGCTGTGGTTTAGAAAAACCATGGAAGAGAGACTGAAGTCACTATCAGAACTAGAACCAAAATCCTGTGCGAAAGAACATAACATTAGAAGTGTTAACTCATAACTAATTGCAATCTGAAATGCATTAAAATTTTTCATATACAGTGCAAATTAAAGTATCGCTTTACATTTGATTTTAGTAATCGTTCTCTGGGAGTATATTTCCAAGTATTTTGCTAAGAAAATCCAATGCCTTTAAGCAGAACTTTCTGTCTTCCTGTTACAAAAATAACTTGAGGAGATAATCTTAAGGTTTTATTTGTTTGCTTTGAACTGTCTCACTCGCTCAGTAACAGCAAGTGTTGGGAAACTTCATGTACGTTTTCTGTCGTAGAACTGTATCACTTCTGTCTCAACCATTCCCTCCAGGCAATTTAGTATCATGCGTAAAGTGCTCTAGGAGATTGTGGTAAGTGTACTTTTACATTAAGTGCCTAATTGCCATACTCAGGTTTAGTCATAGTCAACACATTTTAAGTGCTGATGTGGAAATCACAGTTGTTGCTTTAGGCTGGCATCTGCAAATCTTTTTGATTGTACACCCTTATCAGTAAAAAATTTCTGAGCACACACCACCAAATATATACATATTTATATATTTGTAATTTATATACATGTGCTATTGAAGTTCTAATATTTTCTTCCTGCACCTCAATGGATTGTCTTGTGCACCCCCTGGGGTGGGTGCACACCACTCTGGAGACCACTGCTTTAGACAATGGCCTCCTCTAAGGACGGATCATCATCAGGTATCCTTACAAATACTTACTGATGCTACAAGTGAAGGGATTGTTAGACATGCTGGAGATCCCTCCCAATACTAACAGTTGCATCCTCAGCGCCCATCCCTTGGTAACAGCTGGGACAAAAGGAACCCAAGAGGTCTCCTTGCTTTTGCACCCCTGACCCAACCCTTCCCTTTGACCGCCAAGTAGTGGAAGCCATGCCTGCCCCTTTCCAGCTAGCACCAGAAGACAGGCATTAAAAGTGTGAGGAGAGGTGGCTGAATAGAGGCTAAGAGAAGAGAGGATCTGTCAGTCACATAAGGAGTATAAATCAAGGGTGGGATCCTGTACCTTGGAAGTGCAAGTATTAGCTGGTGCCTGGAAGATGAGTCAGAGCCAGGCCACTTCAGATACCACCATCCTCTCGCCACTTCTCTCCTGACCTCAGACCAAACTCAATCTGTTGGAACAACTCCACAAAACCCACCAATTCCTTGCTTCCTCCATCATCCAAAATGTGCCACTTGAAAACTGAATTTGCTAGCTGCCTCTAAGAAACTCTGAGTGGGATCCCTCCTATTGATCTGTCAGTCATTCCTTGTAACAATGATAAACAGATTTGGCTTGTGTAAACCTGTTTAACATTAAACACCTATCATAAAATGAAAAAAACTTGTGTTTAAGAAGTATTTAAACTAATTCATTACATTACTCTTGCATTTTTCTGCATATATTAAGATTTTAATCCTCTGTACAAAAATATAGGAAAACTAAATCTTATTAAACATAATTTTGCTAAAAAAACATGGATAAACTTAACCCTTTCAAACATATCAGCATCAAAATAAAAAGAGGAGAGACTTCTTTTATATGGAGTTTTATTTACCTGTGTTAAACCTGAACCTAAATTAGTATGGATTGCCTCTAATTGGGCATTGTACAATAAAGCTTTTAGGTCAGCCCCTGTGAACCGTTCTGTTTTTGCTGCCAAATCCTGAAAGTCCACATCATTTGCCAAAGACAGAGAATGACTGAGAGCTTTTAAGATTTCATAGCGTGAATTCTGTAAAAAGGAGAAAAAAACCAAAAGTCAGTAAAGTGACCTGTTATTTTCTTTGTCCTGATTGCTAGATAGTGCTTTGGCCCTGTCACAAGTAACTTCCTATCTGAGGGAGGAAGGATATTTTTTTAAAGAAGATCATACCTTAGTAATAGTACATACAGGACATACTGTACAGTAATCAATCTTTAAAATATAGGCATACATTTTGTTGTATTTTCTTGAAGAGTCTAAGAGAAACTGTATCAAATGTAGTATACAGATAAATATATTGCTCTAACTAGTTAATATCTGTGATTTTCATATATGAAATATATAAAAATATGAAGGTGAACTCTGCTACTCATATGTCCTTTTGCAAAGAGAAGTATGACAAAAGTGAAAAACTTCGGTTTACCTGAATGATCATATTCTAAATCAGAAGTTTACAAAAAAAAAACAAAAAAAAAGAGCGTGTATCTGCGTTCTTGAGGCACAGGATCATCTTCTTCATGTGTGTTTCAGAATGAAATGATGTGGTATTTGTTAAATGTGCCAACTAATCTGAAAATGAACAGCACTAATTTCTTCTCATAAAATGGGGAATCAAAGACACATATCATCCAGCCTCAAAGGCTTGATCCAAACTCCACTAAAATCAATGGGAATCATTCCTTTCCCAATTAGTGATGCATCTGACTTAAAAGGAGCTTGAATATTCCAAATTAAATGTGGGTAAAGAAGAGTGGGATCATAGAATCATTTAGGTTGGAAAAGATCTTTAAGATTATCCAGTCCAACTGGATCAACTGGATTCAAAACAAAACTGCTCTGAAAACTTCAGATAATTCAAGAGTTGGGTTGGGAATGGCTATGGTTCATCAGTTCAAGCAAATGGCAGATCCACTGGACTAATAATTCAGAGAAAGTTGCAGAACATCATAAACACTATCCTGCATCCAATTTCTTTCTGCAGACTAGTTTCCTTTTTTATTTTTTTTTTTTTAAACCAGCTATATCCACAGCAACATGATTTGATCCTGAAGACTGGTAAACGTCTTTCCCCAGTTTTATGCGAACACATTGACACTAAAATCAGTGAATTTATACTGTTGTATAATTGAAGCTGGGCAATCAAGTCCGGTTTGTCCAGGTTTGAAATGCCACTAAATATAAAGAAAAGGAGAATAAAGTCCATTAATTTGATTTTTTTTTCCTTGCTTCTCATGTAAAATGTTTTGTTTCCTCACCTGATCAGGAGGTGGACAGTACAGGCACTTATCCAGTCGACCTGGCCTTAACAAAGCAGGGTCAATCAAATCTGGGCGACTAGTAGCAGCTAGCACATAAACCCCTTAGGAAAGTGCAGAAAAATATCATTAACATGTGCTAAACTTTTGCATAAAAAGCAGCACACAGATGAATTATTACCTTGTAAGCCTTCCACACCATCTAACTGAGTCAACAGTTGGTTAACCACTCGGTCTGTAACTCCTGTGTTGTCATGACCTCGGCGAGGAGCAATAGAATCAAACTCATCAAAAAAAACTATACAAGGCTTAGCTGCCTGAGCTCTAAAAGGAAAAAAACCAAGGCAATACTTAAATTCTGTTTAAGTTTGGGTCACAAGTAAGTAAAACTGCTTAGAAATATTAAAGATAATTGCTTTTTGCTTCAGAACAAGTATCTTTAATAAGAGAACAGAAAATCTGTTTTCTGTAGAAATTAAGAGGTTCTGAACAATTGGATTGCAATGGAATCACTGTTCATTTTTATGACATACCTTGCACTCACTTTATAATTTCTGAAATACTCAACTCTCGTGTTAATATACATACAGCTCTAAAATCCAATCACCGCAGATGAGGTCTTGGCTTATGTACATCTAACACAAAGTCTGCCTACACTGTAAACTACATGAGAAGCAAAGGCTATGTAAGATACATTTACGCTACTGAGCACTGAGGGTGAATAAGAGCAGATTCATAAAAATAAAACAACTGGCACTGAGGACCTCAACACCAAGTCTAGTATGATCCTATGTACTGAGCGTTCATTACTAGTCAGAGCACACTTGACTGTCTCCTGGAATCATGTGAAAGGAATTCAGCACGTGTTTTCCACAACAGTTCTGTTATGTGAACCAACACACAAATGCAACACATGCAAATGGACAGAACTGGGAGTTGAGCTTCAAAAGTGCACTCCTGATCTGAGCTGAAATGCTCATTTAAATAATGATGATCAAGTTGAACTTGCCAAGATCTCAACATCTGGTTCGGCACAACTGATTATGTCAGATGCTTTTGTGATCTGATACCATGTCTCTCCTAGGACAACAAAATTGTTTCTTGGAGCTTCAACCAATAAAATTCATTGACAACACCCCAAATCTTTACAAAGCCAACCTGTTGAAGATATCTCGAACTGCTTGCTCACTTGCTCCAATGTATTTGCTGAGCAGCTCTGGTCCCTAAAAAAACCCCATCATTAAAGAACATTCATGATATGTTTCTTAGTTTTACTGTGTAATTCAACATCAGCATAGATTTCATATACTAGAGTGAATTTTCTTGTAACCAAGAGAGTGGCATCTCTGAACAGGAGAGCTGAGGGGTCTAGACAAGCCAAAAGAGTCTTTTAAGCATTCCAACTTATTTTATAGTAATAATTTCCATTTTTCTACTCTAACAGAGCATGTGTTACAGTATCACAAGGCAATGGCTTACACTGTATTTTGAAAATACGTTTAAAATGCATTGCTCGACTTCATTGTCCAGTGGAACCAAAATCCAGGATCTTTTTATAAAAAATGGGAAACTAAGAACATCTAATTGAATTTTATAATTCTGCCTAATTAATAAGCATACAAAAAATCTCAGTAATAAAACTGTGAGGTTCTAGAAGTCAGACGGTGGGATATCCAGAGACATAACAATTTTTAAATGTGAGTTTCTTACTCTGGTATCTTGACCTCACAAGCACATACTCACAGGTATGTTAAGCTATTTCATTCAGTTAATAAAACGAATCAATTAATCTTCAAAATCTTGCTACCTTGATGCTGATGAAATTCATTCCACTCTCTCGAGCAACTGCTCCTGCTAACAGTGTTTTTCCTGTTCCAGGTGCTCCATACAGCAAGACTCCTGATCTCTGTCTTATGGGCAGGTTTGCAAATAATTCTGGATACTGGAAAAGAGTTTCAACAAGACATATTCTAAAATACGTAATTATTCTGCAGTGTGCTATAACATCACTGACTAGTACTGATTTTTTGTCTAAACAGAATGTGCCTAATTTCTTTTATCCACATTATTATCACAAGAGCTCATCTGGACTGTTACTAGTTTACTTGGGACTGAAGTGGGTTCCTAGGCTTCATAGGTAGTTAAAATACAAACAAGTGGCATTTTCTACCAAGAGGAAACAGGACAGAATAGGGATGCACTAGAGTTCTATAATGTACATATTGGTACTTCTAAATTTCTGTTTTAATCACCAACTGATACAATTAAATTATATAAGTATACAGTAAAAGATTCTGTCCATTATAGAGAAAACTGTTTAGTCATTTCTCTGATGGCTCATCTCAATGCTGGAAGTTTTAAGCAAGGCAGAAAGGCCAAAGTAAAATAAAGGGGAATTGACGGATTTGCATTCATCCAAAAGAGTACTCCTCTAGCAAAAGCACTGCAGAAGACAGCTGGAAATATTATCTTCACAGAGCCTAATCACAAACCCTGCAACAGAGAGTGCAGCAAAGATGATGTTAGCAATACTGCAGTATCCTAGAGCAACACTTGATCTGTAGAAAAGCACAAGCCGTTGCCTTTTGTATTTGGAAGAGGGAAGAGGAAGGAGAGTTTTCCAGTAGTGGAAGACAGTTGAAGACTAGGAAGCTACAAAAGTAGCTTAAAATCATACTTGTCGTCTTTCTGTCAAATGCTGTGTTACACCTTAAAAATCATTCTTCCCCTACTGACATTATGTACAAAATTGAGGTAACTGATTTAAAAGAACTGGGTACCTTTGCAGGTAACATGATGGTATCCATAAGTATTTGCTTCACATCTTTTAAGCCACCAATCCTGTCCCAGCCAATGTCCTTAGGTTTATGAAGGTTAACATTTGTCAGAGCTAATGGAGTAAAATCTTTTAGAGCTTTCTGAAAATCCATAGCTGACAGATGCAATTCTGCTAAAAAAAAAAAAAAATCCTGATCAAAAAAAACCACCCCACCCACACAGCCTAACAGTAACAAATTCCTCACAATATATAACAATTAAATAAATTTTAAACGTAAAACTTAAAAACTAGCTTTTTATTTCTATATTACTCCACAGGTTCTGCGTAACAGAAGCAAGACTATGGAATAAGAGATTTTGTTGTCAACGTACCGCCATTTTGAAATGCATTCTGGTTGGAAACACAGGCATGAATGGCACGATCAACCAGCATAGTAAAATCTCTAGCAACAAAACCTTCTGTCTCCTTTGCAATACATTGGAGGTCAAGATCAGAGAACTTCTTTGTATCAGAATTCAGTTTCTTTTTTATTATGGAATACAGCATTTCACATCTTTGCTTCTGAAAAATAGAATTGTGCAGCAAATGTATATTAAGTTTACTATTTATATAGCTTTCAGAAATTCAAAAAGTAAATACATACAAATTACTAAAATCTCCTTAAATATTTACGTTTCACCAAACCTTCAAGTAACAAAATCTGAGCAGGCATGAGTATAAACAAAAGTTAGTTCTTCAGGTGAATTTCAATAAACTCACCAGTTTTACAACTTCAAATGTTTACCTTGCCACAGCTATCTTAAATCCAACAATAATAATGAAACAACCCTCCATCCCCCAGATTCTACTGCTTTACACCCATTTTTTCTGTTTCACAGGAAAAGGAACATCTTTCATTTTGCCGAGATGAGCAGAATGTATCTGAGATGAAATATATTGCATTAGATAAAAATACATCGGATATTTTGGTATCTTTTGAGATCCTGACTTTTCCAGTCATGTCTCATCCTTATTCATGTATTAATATTAAAAACGATAAAGGCAGACTTGCAGGAAGTGGGAGAAAGCTCCATTGTGCCTAACGCAGAATCCCCTCAGTGGCCTTTAGTTGCTAGCCTGTGACAGAAGACAAGCAGGCAGGAACCACTCATGTTAAATACAAATGAGCTGCCATGTCTGTGTCATGCCATTAGGCATGCACAGGTATAAAGTGCTGCTTTCTCCTGCAATGAAGTTATACTGTTTATTCTTCCCTCTACCTTTTTTACTTTTCAAAATGGACTATATTCAAAAGCAGAGGGATATAATTCATATAGAAAACCAACCCAAAACCTTCCCATAAAATTAACATTTTGTTTTAGTAACGTTTTTAAAATACACATTCTAGGGACATACTTATTCCTCTGAGCAGTGAAAAAACACACTTAGGTTTAATCTCATATATCTAACTGTAGTGACTTACATGTTTTTTTCAAAGCTGCTCCTCTAGAATCCCCTTACAGGTAACAAGAAGACATGCATATCTCTCCTATGTTAGACAACCTGACTTGTTTTACGTTGAACTGAAACGTCCTCTGAGTACACCCTTCTCTTGCCACTGAGGAGAGTGAGGCCAGCTGAGTTTTCACTGGATTACTTCTATTTTTTTTTAAACTTTATAATGACAGATGTGAGTTCTGAGGTATTCAAGTATCATGAAAGAACTTCCAAGATTTCCAGATTTTTTTCTCACCTTCAGATGTAACCTACTAGTTTTGCAGCTGTTCCAGTATTGTATTTGAGGTTGCAGGGAAGGCAAAAAACATTTTACCCAAATGAATAAATACCCGAATTTACCTGATCTGGAGATTGGATACATTTGAAGCACTGAAATATGTGAGTTCCTTGAGCTGAGACCAGGGAAGGATGTAGGGAATGTTCAGACTGACTTGTGGCAATTAATGCAATCAAACTCCCCATGGAAATAACTTCTTTTATCAGATCTTTCAGAACTAAACACATAAGACATTGCTCCATGAATTGCAAAATAACAAAAGATTCTGCGTTTCATAATAGATATTTCTACTGTACTGGAGAGCAGCATTAGGGCACAGAAAATGTAACATCTCGTTATATATTTGTTTTATTTCCATGTTTACAGGCTTTTTGTTAAATTAATAAAAAAGATGTATAGTTATTTTTTCTAGGACAGTACATTCCGTTAATAAAATGCCATCAGAAGTGCTCTTTAAAAGCTAAATTTGTAACATCACTGATGATGCCTACCACAGGATATCAAATGTGATTTTTTGTGCTCTATGATCCCTGTTCTAGAAATATTATTCCCTCCAGGCAAACAAAAAAGGGAAAGTTATAAGAATAAAAACAGATGCTAAGCCTAGAAAATAAGCAATCTAGGAAAAAATAATATATGAAAATCAAAGATATTATGGATGCAAGGTAGATCTTCAAGGAATAATCTTTAAAACTCTAAACCTCTGTTGTATGATTATACCTGTAAATAAAGTAATAAGAAACACAAACAATTTTGCAAGTAACTTCTAAGTGCACATTTTTAAAAAAAGAAATGATGGTAAGATTTCCTGAACTTCAAAAGTAATTTAATAAAAAATTATGCTAACTCCCTCAAACTGAGCTAAGAAATGGAAGATATTTTTTGCTATGGCTTGAATTTTACATGAACAGAGCTGAATACAGCTAAAAAAATAAAGATATTAATCTTGATCATTTAATTTTGTTTTGCAACTTATCATTGCCTAGATTTTAGGGAATAAAAAGGAATGACGTCAAACGACAATTGATAATCTTATTTTTAAAATCTGGGGATTGTTACATTGTAAAATATAATAGAAGTTCTACGAAGTCTACCAAGTAGGATGATAAAGAAGTTAGTATTCAGCTAAAAGAAGTTGGTCCTAATCATCAATAAGTATCAAATTTATCTATCTCTGTAATTATAAATAATTATGGAAAACAGGATCAGTTTTAATGATATGTCAATTATAATATTGATCTTATCAATTATTATCAGTTAAAGATTCATCTGTAATTTGTACGCAATTGCAACATATTTGAGTGCATGAACAATATAAAAAGGAACTGAGAAGCCTCTGCCACAATACCTCTGGCAGTGGTATTGACAACAGGCATTGCCACCAGCAAGGGTGGTGTACGTACCATTGGAAATAACTACTCCAAGCTTCAGAGTGGACTATTTTGATTCAGCTAGTTGTCCACAAATGGTCTACAAGTGGTCTACATACCGTAATTTGTGAATCCCTGCCATGGTATACCACATGGTCCAGAGGCAATAATGATAAAGACAGAATTGTCCAGGTAGGACAGTACAATTCAGGTGCAAGAAATTCTAAGTTGCATTATATTTTTATCCAGACCCAGGTAGCACAGTATTACCGTAAGCAAATCTATTGCTCTGAATGGTTTCAGGGCTGTTCTCATGCTCTGGTGTAGAAGGTACTCCAACAATGTGATCAAGATCATCCATCAAAAGAATGGATGGCTGTCTCCATGCTGCCTCTAAAAAAGCTTCCTCCACATTTTTCCTTATGTTTACCAATCTTTTTCCTAAAACAGAAATTCAATTTTAATGACAAAGCATATCAGGAAAAAAAAATCATCAGACTGACTATGTCTGCTCATGTAATACTATAATGTCTTGATTCACGTAGCTTAACTTTACTTCTTTATCCAGGCACAAGACTGAACCAGAGTCAACAGTCAGTAAAGAAAAGAGTCCACATCTTCTATCACTAGAAGGATCCACCTGTCCTAAAATGAGGTTGATCATCTTTCACTAACCACTGTAGAAGCCTACAGGTCTAATTTCTAGACAGTTAAAAACCAAGCAGTATCAGCAACACTCTCAATTAGCTACAAAGAGTCCCGCAATTGGAAGAATTTTTCAGAGCAAAGGACCTAGCTCTTTATCAGTCTTTCTCTTTTTCTCTGGAGCAATGAGCTTAGTAGGGACTTCAGCAAAAAGAGTATAGCCATGCAACATAAGGGCTTTGTGAGAAAACAGTTGAGTATTCTCTGCCTCTGTAACACCAAGACTATTTGGGAAAGCCAGCAAATGAAAGAGTAAAAAAAGCATTTTTTGTCCTCTTCCATCTTTGGTGCAAAATACTTATTTTGAACTCACAAAACGCAAGGATTCATCTCATCATCATCTATAATCATGAGTGTTAGATGACTACTGCCAACATACACTAGGTTAGTAAATATGCCATCATAAATCAGGTTTCAGCTGGTTGTTCAATCCTTCTTCAGTGCCTGTGTCACCCTTTCACTGAGTAATACAGGTATCCTTTTTAACACTTATGATTTGTTAATGTAACCTTTGTTCCAGCTAGCACAGCTGAAAAAACAAACAGTTCCAGCTTGCAACTTCTCCCTATTTGTTACAATTAGAAATAAGCATGGCAAACTTCAATGGTTTGAATTTGGTGGTGGTACATGGGACAGAAACTGATAAAAGTGTGAAATAAGCTTACGGCAGCTGTATTTTCATCAGACTGATGAAGATGCTTATTGCAGGACATCAAATATCCTTGCAAAAGCAGTAATAATACTAGAAAAATGATTCAGACTAAATATAAGAACTTTACAATTGTGCTTCTTCATCATACAGCAAACATTTGAGATTTAAAAAAAAATTATCATACCTCTTAAAGCTTTACAATCAATTACTTCTACATGAGCATCCAGTCTATCGAATGCTTCTTTGCAGATGGCCTTTGCTAATGTTGACTTTCCACTTCCCTACAAAAATAAATGTGAGCTAATGTAAATTGACAGAACTATTTCCTTCTGTTTCTGTGGAGTTTTTGTCACAGTGTACACCAGTTAACAAGCTGGGAAGGTGTATGCACACTGATTTTATTCCTCACCAAAAGTATATATGTATTCTGTCTTTATATA